AAAAATTAGAAAATTAGACAATATCATGCCTCCCTTACCACTAATATGGCACGTCATTTTCTCAGTACATGGAGACTGTCGTAAAGCAGTCAAATTTATAAGCCATTTGGTGTGACATCACCAAACCCCTTAAAAACCATAAATAAATTACACTGAAATTGTTGTTGTTTTTTTACATCCAGGCCTAAAATAACATAAAAAGAACGAACCTGTCAAAAGGAATGCGGGCATTCCGGTAATTGTTAACTGGATAAACATAATTTTCTGATCTATGATGACGAGTGGCTCATCAGCCGTTTTCAGGAATAATCGTTTTTCAGTTTGGCACTGCTGCGCTCTGGGAGCGCGACACAGCGAGGAGCCGTGCGCCACGCGTGCACGTGAAGAAGCAGAGATTGAACTGGGGTTCTACAGGAGCGTTCCAGAGGGAGCTGGCAGACCCATCGGGACTGTGCCAGTTCAGTCCACCCAAAGCATTTCTGATCATGCAGGGATCAAACAAACATGTCCTTCACACATGCAGGAAGTAATTTGCATCTGTTTAACATATGTTAATGAAGGCGTGTCAGGGGAGGTGTCTCACGTGCGCTCAGTTCCACGTTAATTGTGATGTACAAAAGAAATGTGCGTGGATTCAGGCGTGCGCACAGTTTGATACATCTGGATTTTTTGTGCGTACGCCGTTTTCTGGGTTTGACCATACGCCACGTTTCAGTAAGAAATCCACACAAGTCTTTGTACACGAGGCCCCTGGTGAATAAGTGACACATTTGAACAAAATGTGTGACAGGTTTCACCCTCAGTTGTTAACATTAACGTTGATCAATAACATTTATAGACCTCAGTTAGTGCTTCTAAATTTAGCAAGCGCTAATCCACTAATAAATTTTAAAATTAGCAAAAGCCCTAAAGCACTAATCAGGAAATTAATTCCCCTATTAGTGCTTTAGGGGAACTGTGCCCACCACTGGTGTTTAAGGAGTCATTCAACTACATTTGCAACCCATCAGTAATAGACAAATCCTCTGCAGGGTCCCTGGCCTCTGTTTCTGCAGTAGAAGGGATGTCAGTCAAGTTAAAGTGAAACTCAAAGTATTGTGACAACATCCTGACTACATCAGCATATGAGATGCTCCTCTTAAGTAAAGGTGTCCAAACTTTGGACAGTTCCTTCTCAGTGTGTGTACGAGAAACATGCACCAGTAGTGTCCATGTTGGAGACTGATGGTCTGACCTTCTCCTTTCAGGGTGGATCCTGCTGGAGTCCAATGGCTGATACCGGATCTGACAAAGTGTAAGTTTATTTGATTCACAATAACACAACCTGACACGTCAGTCATTCAGGAGTCGTCATAAAAATGCAGATAAGTGACCAGATGATTCCTCACTAACCACCTTCTCCTCACCAGATTCCTGTCGACTCACAGTCGACACAAACACCATAAACCTTTACCTCAAACTGTCTGACAACAACAGGAAGGTGACTTATGGGACGGAGGAACAGTCATATCCTGATCATCCAGACAGATTTGATGACTGGTGTCAGCTGCTGTGTGGAACTGGTCTGACTGGTCGCTGTTACTGGGAGGTGGAGTGGACCGGAGACGTTCATGTATCAGTGAGCTACAGAGGAATCAGCAGGAGCGGAGGCAGCAAAAACTGCATGTTTGGATGGAATGATCAGTCCTGGAGTCTGAGCTGCTCAGATCGTGCTTACTCAGTCTGGCACAATTACAAAGAAATACCTGTCTCCTCCTCCTCAGCGTCATCATTTTATTCCTCGAACCGAGTAGCCGTGTATGTGGACTGTCCTGCTGGGATTCTGTCCTTCTACAGAGTCTCCTCTGACAAACTGATCCACCTCCACACCTTCAACACCACGTTCACTGAACCGCTTCATCCTGGATTTGGTTTCAAGTTTGGGTCTTCTGGTTCCTCAGTGTTTCTGTGTTGACTTTCATTCAAGGAGAGTATTCAGTGTGTACACTTCACGTCTTTTACTTAAAAACACGTTTTTAGAACAGTGTCTTCAAGCGGTTTCTCTTTTATACTTTTCTAAAGAAATCCATGTAAGCTGTTTCCTTTTCCAGGTTTTTAATGATGGAAGCTGTGAATATTTCAGGATCTAAATGTTTTTCTGTCTGTTGATGGTGGTGGGGTTTTTACCAGCATTTTACCTGCATTTTCCTGAAACATCGTCCCCACCAAGTAGCAAAAACAAGGGCACAAACAGTCTGGTAGTCTTCATGATGGATGCAAGGGTTATATGAGCAAAATACAAATAGAAGCCTTTTTCAGTCTCTTTGTGGTTGTGCTCTAATGGAGTCTGTTTTATAAACCACCATTAAACAAAAAACTAGTGACTTGTTATATCCTGCATGGTAATGCTGCAGTGAGTGTTTTTGTATCAAATATCCATCCAATCCATCTGTTTCAGACAAGTGACTTCTTTGTTCAGAAAAAGAAACAGTTTTTCACTGTTCCGCGCAACATCCAAGATTATTGTTCTTGTTGGTTGGTCTCAGTGATATTTTCAAATTTGGTGGAGAATCTTTTATTAGCCTAATGTACATAACTGATAATTTTGTAACTGTTTGTATGATTAAAAGAAAGTTGGTTTACTTAAAAAGGAACGGGTGAAATATCTGAGCTGGAAAGAAAAGACAAATGGACAGATTTGTGATTGCCTGCACTTGTTTTAGATCATATTGAGAGCAAAAGTTATATATTGTAGAAATAATAATGTTCACAACTGTACAGTATATGAACTGGACATATTTCAAGACTACAAAGAAATTTTCTTTTACTATTTCAAAACTTTCTTTTTTCTGATGTGTTGAAATGAGTTTGTTGTTAATACAGACTGTTATTAATTTGTTTCTTGTTTAGAAATCAAAATCAATCTTTCGTTTTTAAAGAACTAAAACTTTGTCTTTTCTCTTTGTTGTGTCCTAATATCTTAAATTATAATTTGGGGTGTTCTCTGCAGGTCTGTGGATGTTACTCTACTCTTATGGAAACTGGAGTACCCAGAGAAAATACACACTCTTCACACAGGAAGACCCCAGGTCTGACTCCAGTATTGAACCCAGGGCTGATTAACCTGGTTCTGTAAAATAAACCAAATTTACCAGCTCTACTTCACATCGATACAGGAGTGTTTGAARGGGTAGTMAGTAGATCATTAGTAAATRATGGCCCAGGTGGGGTGAATTCTTATGATCGAAATGTCTGAAACAAGGAAGATATTTGATTGGCTGCAAACAATTCCCTGTTAAACAAAAAGGCATGTGTGACTTGAYCCAAATCAGGGGAAACTCAAAATTCACACACAAATGCAGTGAAGTATACAGAACATAAGCACTTTTTAAATCAAGATATATTTGTGGGCATCAGAAATACATGTTTGAATCATTTTGTGCAAGTGCAAATTGTTCTGTGTGCACGTGTGAATCATGTTTTGTACACAGGTGAATTGTGTTGTGCATAATGGGAATTGTTTTTTGCATGTCTGAATTGTATTGTGCATGTGTGAATTGTTTTGTGCAAATGTGATTTGTGTTGTGCATGTGTGAATTGTGTTGTGCATATGTAAATCTTCTTGTGCACATGTGAGTAGTCCTGTGCATGTATAAATCATGTCTCGTAAATGGTAATGGACTGTACTTATATACTGTCTTTCTATCAAGCCAGGGTACTCAAAGTGTTTTACACTACAATCTGTGACCTCATTTACTAAATGTAATGTAAATAAACTAGCAAAGGAGTCAGGAAGTGAAGGTGYTCAAACTATAATTAGTATTTTGTAGAAAAACAAAGTTGATTAAAAGAACATGATCCTACACATCACACATACAAGKTAATGTAGACAAATACACATTGTGACTCACACTTGATACCAGCTGGTGGCAGTAATGCACCAGTTTAGTTTTGTGCCAAACATGATTGAAATTAGGAAAAAGAAGAAGAACCTRCTGACTCCAGGTCAGCAGCACCTGCAGACAATCAGTTTACTGAGCTGTGATTGGCTGCAGGTTCCAATAAATACCAAATGACTGCTGTGAACACATACACAGCTAGTAGCTCTCTGTTGTGTTGAGAC